CTGAAGTCTCCAAAAATCAACTTTGTTTTTCTTTCTTCGCATAACAAATGTTATTTGTTTTATCTATTACTCTCATTTCTTCTTTTCCAAACAACTAAAAAGCTTTTATGAAACAATACTAAATTTATTAAAAGAATGTTTTGACTAATTAATTATTATTATTTTTTTCTTATTCTTTTGAAATCTATTTTTCTTATAAAAAATTATTAATTAAACTAATTTTAAGCATTTCAGAGTTAAATTAAATAAATTGCTAATATGGTTAGAGTAATACATGCCTCGTAATTTTTTATATATATGAATAAATAAAATTATTTATGTGGATGAATATAAATTATTCTGACGAACATCAGACTGTTATGCTGGTATATATAAATAAAATAGTTGTTTATTTGAACTTCGCGTCTATGTAATAACTATTACTAATTTTTCGTAATTTACAACAGATTCTACAGTTTTTATTACCAATAAGACTTTGTTAATATATAAAGGTAACCGCTACAGTTCTTACACTCATTTTCTCTACAGCCAAAAGTTTACAGTCATTCTACAACCACAGTCCTTACCCTTAGGGGTGGAATTATTATCCGAGATCCGAGATCCGATCTGTTATCCATTCGGAATCGCTTCGAAAATTAGGATATCCGGGGAGTCCGGATCCGGATAAGGATAGTAAAATTTAGGATCCGTGAAAAGAGGATCCGGATAGCAAAATTTTAAGGTCTGGATATCCGGATCCGGATCCGGACGCATTAAATATATTAAAACCATATATATTATATATCTATTAAACTAATTTTATATAAATAGATATATATATATAAAAATTGATTTTAGTTCTTTTTATAATAAATTATATTATAATGAAAAATACATTTAAAATATTAACTAATAATTTTTAAAAATATATTTTTAATTATTTATTAATTATTTTTAATATTAATTTCGGATCCGGATATCCTGATTTTTAGAAAAATTCCTAGAACCCGGATATCCGGAGGTCACGATTCCGGATCCGAATAATTTTTTCACGGATCCGACGATTCCAGATCCGAATCCGGATACTCTGAAATTCCAGAGTATCTGGAATCGTCCCACCCCTACTGACCCTTACCAATCATGCCCAATATATTTCTTTAAGATCTCTTCTTCTTTTTTTCCCTTTCTTTTGGTGTGTTTGATTATATATTAATTTCCAATTTCCCCTTGACTTATTATATTTAGTATTCACGTTACTCAATTAACTTATAAGATTAAACTTTTTTTGTTCACGAATTATCTATTTTTCAAATATATACGAATGCATACTTGAAAAATAGATAATTCTTGAACAAAAGAAGTTTAATTTTATGAGTTTAAAGACCGGTTTGCTTTCATATTCTTATTATCTGGCATAAAATTAATTAAATAGGTTTAAACATTCTGTAAATCAATATGTAAAATCTAAATAATTCATTTTTAAATAACATTTGCAATCTTAGTAAAAAAAACAAGAGTATATATATTTGTTTTCCTTTGTCAAAACTGATACAACGAATTACCTGATACAATACAGGAGTTTTTTTTTTGTTGAGAAAAAACACAATACACGAGTTTGTTATCAATTAAATATTTATTGTAACGAAATACTCCGTATGCATATTTTTGTTTTTTTTTGAAGAACCACGTATATGTAGACCGCCATGATTCCATGAATGATGAATGCAGCGATATTTTAAAAAGCTAAATTTATAACGGTCGTGAAATTAATTGCATTAAAGCATAACGGCAGAAGGAGTTACGCAAAAAGGGGTGCAACACTAGTCGGGACTCGGGATCAATGGTAGTTATGCATATACATCGATGAGCATATACTACATACAGTACAAAATAATATTTTGTAAAACCTATAACAAATTATTGGGATTTCAAAATTAGAGAGATCGTATTCGTGACATATTGACTAGCCAACACGTTTCAAGAATATTTGACCCATCTGTGATAGTTGGGTGCCAATGGTTGTCATATGAGAGGAATAAAAATGGGTGGAATTAACAATTTCATTGAATTACTATAGAAAATCACCATTTAGAGTAAAATTGCATTCCTCTTAATTTTAATGGATCCCACAAAATAACTAAAAAGGAAAGGAAAAATAGGTGGAAAAAATCCTAATTCCACTCACTGTTTTCAATTAATTTTTTCCCAACTTATTCCTCTAAATTAACACCATTTGCATCCTTACAACTTTTTTTTTTCTATCTACAACAACATTCATTATACAGATTTGAATGAAGACACAACAATTGTACAATCACAAAAGACTAAACTAATGTCTTACAATTACAAAAAACTATCCTTATGCATAAAATAGTTAAGATCCCATAACAAATCCCCCATGCATCATAATGAAATATAAAACAAATGTGACTATACCTTTCGAAACAGGAATTAGCATTAGATGTGTTAATCTAAATTGCTGTTCAATTCGGTACATATTGTTGTCAAAGATATTCGATTTTAAGAAAACACGTAATAAAAATCAAACAGAATTTAATATAAATAAATTAGGTTTCATCATATGATTTTGGTTTCGCTAGCTAGATCTTAATGTTTACCGAATAATATCTTTACTTTTTAAATAGTTTAAGTTTTGAATATATCTTTTTCTAGTTTTGATATCCAGCCATAATTTTAAACAATTATTTTACGGTACATGAAATAATCTTCGGACGTCTTTCCATTACGAAAATAAAATATGTTTTAACACAAACTATAGAATATGAGAAACATCAAATAGGACCAAACACATACTATATATCATTTTCTCGAAGACATAAGATTTTATTAATTCTTACCATGTAAAACCAAAAGAAACGAAACACAAACACCTTGTACATACAATTTTCATAAACCCACTTTTGGGTTTTTCTTATGTCGTTTTCTATTGGTTTATTTATTATCTGAAAACTAAAATCACACTCGAAACAAGTACTTAGGCATGAAAGCTTATCATCATCACTAACCACCGATTTTAATCGGTTAACTAATTAATCGCAGAGCAAACCCTACGAATTTCCCCATTAGCACCCGTAAGRACACCGATATTACTCATCCTGACCATTGACCTCGCAAACTCAACGCTGAAGGTGCTTSTAGGACTCATCAACTGTTGGACTATGGGTCTAGTGGCTGGATCGGTCCAAAGCACCTGGTCGGATTGAAGGACTCCACGGCCACGGCTTAGGTTGTTGAAGTAAGAAGTGTCGAAAGTGGTTCCACTTCCAGTGTCGAGGTCCACGCGCACCGTAGCATCACCATTTTGGGGACATTGTGTCTGAAGTTGTGCCAAAAATGTCGGGTCGATGGTTGGATCCGCGGGTTGTCCGGTGCTATTGAATAGCCTGTTCCTGAATACACCACATCCCGCTGTTCCGATCGTGTGTGCTCCTGTTAAATTATATAAATTGATTTAATATACTTTTATATGTTGAAAATGGTTTTTTTTTATTTAACTTTTTTGTAGAAGATAAAAGAAAAGGTTTAAATAATAAAATATATATAGGCCTTAAAAAATTTAGTTAGACGTACGGTTTTCAATTGTTCAACGAACAAAGAGTTTCTTAACGTTTATTTTTTTGAATTGATGGTAATATATAGGTCTTGAATTGTGTAAAAAATGTAAAGTACTAACCGGCGAGAACGACGAGATCGCGAGTATTAAGTCCGAGAGCGGAGAATTTCTGTTGTTGAACCGCGACGGAGTCACGAGGACCAGGGAGATTGTTAGCGTTCGAAGCAATAGAAACTCGACCATCTCTACGTCCCGTTGGTACTTGCCAACCTGTTCCTCTAGTCTGCATGCAAATTAACCCCATGCACGTAAAAAAGTTATTTACATATAAAATAATAAAAGTAATATAATGCATTTGCGTTTATGGATATAAGGGCTTACGAGGACGACAGTGTCACGAGCGGCTAAGGTCAAAATATCAGCACAAGAGACGATTCCTGGACACGCYGCTTCGAGTTGCGTTTTGGCGTTGTCTATGACTTCAAATCCACGGAGGTTGGCGTTTGGTCCGGCGGTTCTCTCGGTGTCAGTTCCGGATATAAGGATCGAACCGTCACAACCTAGGACGAAGCAGTCGTGGAAATGCATTCTCAATATTCCAGGTGCGATTCTCGGGTCAGAGCTGAAACCAGCTCTCACGGCGTTTCGGACAATGGTTTCGGCGTTAGGACACGTGGTCGCATAAAACCCGATCCTTGTGCCAGAAACAGGACCAGGCCTTGCAGTGGCTTGGCCATGAACCGTGATGACTAGGCAACTGATAAAGGTAATGAATAAGCATAATGATCTAACCAAACCCATCTTGTATTTTTATATTTTAGAGAAGATTAAAGTATGTGTTTTTGTGTTTTTAGTTTGAGTGAGTAGAGGTAGTTCGTTTTAGAGTATTATTTATAGAGGAGATTGACAAGTCAAAAGATGACGTGGTAGTCAATGAAACCGGCTATTGTGTTTGTGGGGGTTATACAAAACGACGTCGTTTGTGAGAGATTCAAAACTCCGAAAAACGCGTGTTGTTTGGTCAGTGCGGAGTGAGCTGGTCCTCTCGTTGACTCTAAAAGCATTTGTTCTTTTGGGATTTTGCTCGTTTGCTGTTAAAAAAAAAGAAAGGATTTTGCTCGTTTTGATCATTTTTCGTAAAGTTGATTGATTGATTGAATATGTAATGGCAGAAATATTGTTTACGTAGGAGTTTTGAATTTTGGTTCGAGTCTAGTTGATTTTTAGAAAATGTATTATTAGATATGAGGAAAGTTGTATAATACGTCCATTTTTAGTAGGTAGACATGCAGCAATTCGCGGATTAGAATTGATTTTTAGAAAATCTATTATTAGATATGAGGAAAGTTGTATAATACATCCATTTTTAATAGGTAGACAGCAATTAGCGGATTAGAACGGAAACCATATTTCTTAGCAAAGTGGACTAGTATGTCAAGTGGAGTTCAATACGAAAATATCTAAAAGATTTATAAATTTTCATTATTAAAAGGTAATGTCACTAAATAAAACAACTTATCACCTTATACATTATAAAAATAACGATCATATCT